GGCTCTTCACAGAGCCGAATCCTCTTCCTCACGGATATCCACTGGGATGCGGAGTACGCCGAAGGCAGTCTTGTGGACTGTAAGATGCCACTGTGCTGTCGAAATCACTCTGGAAGGGCCAGTTGGAAGCACACTGGAGCCGGATACTGGGGCACGTATGGCGACTGTGACCTGCCTCTGCGCACAGTGGAGAACCTTCTCCAAAACGTAGCCAAATCTGGGCCGTGGGATTGGGTTTACTGGACAGGAGACATTCCAGCACACAACGTCTGGTCTCAGACCTGGGCACAACAGCTGAACGAGCTTGTCACCATCACTAGACTCCTACACAAACACCTGGGGCCTAATGTAACCGTTTACCCAGCGGTTGGGAATCACGAGAGCACTCCGGTGAATAGTTTCCCTCCTCCGTTTGTACATGGCAATCGGTCGTCCCGCTGGCTTTATGACACCATGGCTGAGGAGTGGGCACCCTGGCTGCCAAAGGAAGCCCTGGAGACGATACGGTAAAGTACTGATGGAAAAGACAAAAGTTAGTTTGGCTAAATCTGTCACATTAATTAACATCACATTTTGAGTATTTTCACTGATAAAAACACAATCAAATTATTATTGTTATTATTGTTGTTGTTAGTTATATTTTATTATTTTTATTTGTAATGTAATATGATATTATTGTTAGTTATTATTTTTATTTAATTGAATAATTTTTATGAATTTTATTTATTTGTTATTATTTATTATATATTTGAGATGTATGCCCCTGAAATTTATCTTATTTGTTGTTAATAATAATAATAATAAAATCATCATTTATTTATTTACTTACTACATATGTGGCAATTTTGATATTTTTGCCCCCTGGAATGTATCTCATTAATAATAATAATAATAATATTAAATAAATAATTTATTTACTTATTTACTTGATACATATGTGGCAATTTTGATATTTTTGCCCCCTGGAATGTATCTCATTAATAATAATAATAATAATATTAAATAAATAATTTATTTACTTATTTACTTGATACATATGTGGCAATTTTGATATTTTTGCCCCCTGGAATGTATCTCATTTTTAAATGTATTATTATTGTTGTTGCAGTTGTTTTTGATGTAACCATTTAATAATATTTATTTATTTGTTTATTTATATTATTTTTTGTAATATAATATCATGTGGCTATTTAGATATTTATGTCTTCCTTAACATTTTGTTTTTGTTGTTGTGGTGGTTTTACTACTTTATAATTTATTTATTATTTTATTATTATTACTATCATTATCATAATCAACACATACTTTATTTATGTATTTATTTATATATAATGTGTGTTTTGTCTTCTCTAGGCGTGGAGGGTTTTACACCTGTGAAGTTGAGCGTGGTTTGAGGGTGGTGTCCCTGAACATGAACTTCTGTGCGCGAGAGAACTACTGGCTGATGGTGAACTCCACAGACCCGGCGGGTCAGCTCCAGTGGCTCATTAATATACTACAAGAGTCAGAGAACAAGGGAGAGAAGGTACGAGAAGTTTACAAACATCAGAGAAACCCGAAAACCTCTTATTTTGTATTAAGAACATAAGAAAACAAACAACAATGTTGAAGCCATTTGCTCGCTGCAGCAGTTGCAATGTTGCAATGTTAGTGGTTGTAGGTTAGAGGTGTTTAAACATCCAGGCAACTGATCACGAGTCAGACCAGCTAGAAGCGGATGTGAGGCCGTTTCAGTTTTTAACTTTTGTTTGTATTTGGACATTATATACTAGATCATGCCAATGATCCTTCTACTACTAAATGTTACTCAAATTATTTTGTAAGATGATCCACAATTCTTGTATTTTTCTCAAAACAAAACCAAAAATCTTGGTTTATCTTGAATATCTTGAATTTTTGTTGTTTGCAGTTTTGTTTTTGTTTTTTTTGTTCTGTTTAGTATTTTAATTTTGTGTAATTTCTCTCTCAGGTCCACATCATCGGTCACATCCCCCCGGGACTCTGTTTGAGCAACTGGAGTTGGAATTACTATCATATAGTGAACAGGTCAGTCACTTTTCTGTGAACACACTGTATGGGCCGTCCTGCAGTACACAAGAGTTCACTGTTATCTGTTGTAACCCGTGGTTGAATCAACACAACTGCGTGACTGTGGCCTAAAGTCTTCTAACAGCTCCACAGTGTCTTTTATGATCACAAGTGTCATACTGTCGCAAAAATGGGTCATGTTGACTGTAACTGCCTGGTTTTGAGATAATTGTATTTACCATTTGCCATATGTACCGGGAGGTGTATGTAATGCAGTGGTTAATGGTTCACTTTAGCAAGCAGTCTGGTTCCTTCCTATAATCCTATTTCATTTTCCAGATATGAAAGCACCATAACTGGTCAGTTTTTTGGGCACACGCATGTCGATGAGTTTCAGATGTTCTATGATGAAGATACATTGACTCGTCCACTAAGTGTGGCTTTCATCGCCCCAAGTGTGACCACTTATGTCAACCTGAACCCAGGTGCTCACTGTACTATATTAGTTGATAGATATTTTATTTTATTTTTTAATTTAATTTAATTGAAAAAAAAAAATTACCAAATTTTATTTGAGCTTTATTTATTTATTTATTTTGTTGTTGTTGTTTTCATCTTAAAATCAGTCTGTTTATTCTAATAGGTTTATTTTTGCTTTTGCATTTATTGTAGCTGTGTTTTGGGGTCAGTATTTTTATTTATTTGTTTATTTATTTATTTTAAAGAAAGTAATACCATGTATTTAATTACTATGTATTAAATTAATCAAAAGTGACCGTAAAGACAGTTAAGGTCGTTGCACACTGAGTCCGAAATTTCCGTATGCGTTTAAAAAAAATAAAAAAATAAAATAAATTGTATTCGTCATCCTTTCCTATCAAAATGCTTGCTACGGATGCCAAAGCGCAGAAAATCAAACTTGATCCAAATTGTTTTATGACGGACGAAACATTCGGAGACAGTGTGTAAACATGATTGACACAACGTGAGGTCGTATTTATTTTTTAACATGCGAAAATTTCGGACTCTGTGTGCAAAGACCTTTTAATGTTATAAAGTTTCAATTAAATGCTGTTCTTTATTGATAAAATAATCATTAATTGTATAGTGCTTTCTACGAAATATATTTTTTAATAATTTTATTACTGACTTTTTTTTTGCTTGCCAGGTAGTTATTTTAATTTGTTTTTGTTTTAATTTTAGCATAGTTTTATGTAGTTTTAAAATTGTATTTTATTTTAGTTTAATTGTATTTATTTATGTTTTGTTTTAGCATATACCGGTAGTTATTTTATTTTTATTTTACCATTTAGTTATTCACACAAAATTGTAGCTTATTGCTATAACATGCTTTTTTTATGGTCAGGATATCGCGTCTATTACGTGGATGGAAACTACCCAGGCAGCAATCGCATGGTTTTGGATCACGAGACTTTTATTCTTAACCTGACTCTGGCTAACAACCAGCCCTCAAAACCTGACCCCAACCCATCCTGGACCTTACTGTACCGCGCGTCTAAGGCCTACGGTTTGTCCACACTCTTCCCATCAGACATGGACGCTTTGATCAAAGTTATGAAGAATGATGACCGTGTCTTCCAGCGCTTCTGGTACCTCTTTCATAAAGGCCACGTCTCAAAGCCCTGCACAGACACTTGCAAGACGTCACTAATCTGCCTTCTACACAGCGGACGATACGACCTTCTAACGCAGTGTGACGTGCTACACGGAGATAAACACTCTGTTAGGAAGACAATGTGTTGAGAAAATATGAAACTAGAGTTCTAATGGGTTTAATACCACACCAACGTCACAGACACTTTCATTTGAACTACTTTTTGTAGCATTTGTTACGTTTGTACTTGAGATCATCAAAAGCTGACTTGCTATGGACAATTATTTAAAGCTGTAAGGTATCTGGTCAAGATAGGGTTAAAAAAAATCAGCAGTTCTTGTAACGATGTGGACTTTAGAGCAGAGAACCAAAGTAAAGTATTACTGGTTGAAAGTGGGACAGATAGTGACTTCACTGAATCGTGTAAAAACCACAACTGCTCAAACGTCTCAGTCCTCATTCTCACTCATGTGGTTCAGTGTGATTTGCGTCACTTTTGATCGGATTGTGGTCTGTCACTTTAGAAGTGATATCTATATTTAGTGTCATCACTTCCTGCATTGAGCTATAGTTTGCACACTGGAGCCTGTTGAAGGCTTATTGTAAAAGAAAATGGTTTATTGATTCAACCACAAGTCGTTCAACTTAATTGTTTTAATTGCTAATGCAAGGATGAAGAGAGTCTGTGATCATGTTTCTCTGTGTGAACTGTCGCTGACTTGCTGAAAATTATTTTGCAATTCTAGTGGGATTTTATGAATGTTGAAATGGATTGTCTGAAGGTCTAGATTAATAAATAATTATTTTGCAAGGTAATTTGTTTATAGATTTAAACTGTGCAGTACAGTTCAAAAGTTTGGGTTCACAATGTTGTTGGAAAAAGTAAATTTTGAGCAAATATGCATTAAATGAATCAAAAGCAATTTATGTTGTTAATGTCACAAATTTCTGTTCCAAATCAATGCTGTTCCTTTGAAATTTAATAAAATAATTCTGGGGAAAAAATGTATTGCAGATTACACAAAATTAAGCAGTACAACGGTTTTCAACCGATAAAAGTGAGAAATGTTTAGGTGACAAATCATAGAATGATTTCTGAAGGATCATGTGGCGCTGAAGACTGGCGTAATGATGCTGAAAATTCTGTTTGCGTCACAGGAATAAATGACATTTTATAATATATTCAATTAGAAAAGTTTTGTAATTATTTAATATTGCAGTTTTTACTGTATTTTTGATCAAATAAATACAGCTTCGGTGAGCATGAGATGCATTTTGAAAAAATCTAAAAATACAAAAAAATCAAATCTTTTAAATGGTAGTGTTTTGTATATTTAATTAAGTCTCATCTTTTTGAATTAATTGATATGGCATTCAATTTACAAATACAGAGTAGACCTCCGTTACCAAGCTTTATCAAATATAAATATTCTAAAGAATTCAAAACTTAAACCAGAAAGAACTCTTTTCTATTTAAATGTTGAGGATAACAGCTACATTATAGGAACAAGCTGAAAATACATTATAGGTTTCACTGAATACAAGCATCCCACTCATGTCAAATGTGACGCAGTGCAAGACAGAACCACTAGGAGTCAGTAGATCATGCCTGATGACAGTATGTACTCAACAAATATTTAAACATATTTTCCATGGAAGCAGGTGTTTGATATGTAAATACTTTTTTGAATCATTTCTTTCACAGAATAATTTTAACTGCTGCCAAAGATAAACAGAACCACAGTACAAAAACAAAGAATTTCCAATACATTTTTTGCACACAAAAACAACCATGGAAATACAATGACATTTTTTACACATCACATTCAAATCTTATATATCTGTAGATTTATGTGGAGTGTTTACATTGGCTTCAGTTTGCAGCTTATTGTAAGTATACCTCAAGAGATATATCTACTTATACGAAAGGACAAGAATAGTAAACAATATCCACTGTCAGAGAATTTTCTTCTCAAGGGTCTGTGAAATACAACGTCACTCCGAAGTCCTCCTTATAGATGTCCCAGGTCTTTGATTTGTGTGGATTGTCCAGCTCCTCCCTCGAGAGATACAAGCTACAACACAAACAACAACACAAAGATTTCAGCTCTCAGAAGAGAAAAAAACTTCCAAAACTACAGATAAAAAACCCCACCTGTTGTTCTCAACAAAAGAGGTGTTAAACCAGAAATAGAAAGGACAGTCCTCGTAACCCTTTGGCAAACCCTGGAGAGAGAAAAAGGAAGTTCAAGCAACAGTGAACAACATTTATATGTTCTGCCGACACTTCATCACATATATGGGTCAACTCAATACTAAAATAGTGGAGGACTTACAGCACTGGACTCAAACATGACCTTCACATCTCCAGTCACAACAGGCCCTTCCTGTAAACTGATGACCACCGCATTGTTACCGGTGTCAGGAAACACCTGAGAAAAACACATGACGGGACGGGACAGGAGGATTAGAATGACGTGGAATGTGTGCTTTGGTACGCCACTAGTAAAGCTGCTAGCTTTGCCCTTATTATACAGAACAGAGAAACGTGTTAAAAGTGTCGACGATCACGTCTAGCTTTAGACACGTACCGCACAGTTCTGCTGTTTGGCACAAACACACTGTAAGACGAGCTCTCGCTTCACTATGATCTTCACCTTCAGGTCGCTCCCATTCCCCTTCCCTACACCTGAACAACAACCACAGCCACGGGAAAATTACACAAAGTGTTTCCTTTGTTTACTTAATATTTACTTACAAATTTTCACTTTAAGTTGCATGAAAATACATTTTAATATTAAATATAATTCAATATGAATATATGCATCATATTTCACATTCAATATGTTTAAATTAATTTAAATTACATATTCAATATAATGTAAATATATACATATACTGTATATATATATATATATATATATATACACATACATAATTTATTATTTATTTTAATAATAAAAGTTGTATATATTATTCAATATTAATATAAAATAAATATGCATGGATACATTACATGTATTTCAAATCTACTGTATATGAACTATATGTATTACTATATATTGCTATTCTATATGTCACCGTGGAGCACAAAACCAGTCATAAGGGTTTTATACAAGATTTATACATCATCTGAAAGCTGATAAATAAGCTTTCCATTGATGTATGGTATGTTAGGATCTGACAATATTTGGCTGAGATACAACTATTTGAAAATCTGGAATCTGAGGGTGCAAAAAAATCTAAATATTGAGAAAATCAGCTTTAAAGCTGTCCAAATTAAGTTCTTAGCAATGCATATTACTAATCAAAAATTAAGTTTTAATATATTTACAGTAGGAAATTTACAAAATATCTTCATGGAACATGATATTTACGAAAAATCAATAATTTTGACCCATACAATGTATTGTTGACTATTGCTACAAATATACCCATGCTACTTATGACTGGTTTTGTGGTCCAGGGTCACATATATTAGTATTTTCATATTCAATATCTAAATTATTTTGCATATTTCTCATGTATACATTAATAAGTTTTATAAGTAATATATTTATAATAACAGGCTGGGTCTTACCTGCGATGGAGTGGATTCGAATGCTCTTTATTTTCAGGCTCTTCTGAGGTGGTAGCTGACGGTTGTATTGGTTCTTCATGATCTCATAATAACCGACGTACCTACTCTGCAAGTGCAAAACAAACAGAAAATGTATCAATAAAAAAGAATATACACATTCACTGATTACTGTTGGATCCATGGCTTCCAATCCAGTGTCTCACACACCTGTGAGGGAGTTTCAACACCCTGGAACTTCGAACTCATACTTTTATCAGTCCGTCTCTCCCCAAAGTAGTCCAAACTCTCCTGTAAGATGGTTCATAGAACATTTGAACACAATCTTGGATGAGAAGGGCTCTAAATGTAAACATGGATGAGCAGACTGTACCTGCGCACTCTCAAACTGATCGCTGTCGATGAGCCACGTGCACACCATAGTCCCAGTCCGCCCTATTGAACAAAACCCAACCATTACACACTTCAGACAGACTCTATATTCAGAACAACACTGAATACCACCAAACAACAGACCTTTTCCTCCTTTGCAATGGATGGCGATCACATTGCTGGAGTCTGCTGCCATCCACTCCCTAACACAGGCCGTGTACCGCAGCATATCACTGACAGCATTAATAACAAACAGAGCTTCAATCAAGCCTCAAACCTTGCTAAAAATTCATATTTTGATGTTCAGTTGAGGTGACAGCACACTTACTGGAGTGACGGCACATTATGGTCATCTATCATAACACGCTCCACTCTATAGTGAAAGAACTTTGGATCGTAACCCTTCTCACCTGAAACCAGATGTCAGATTAGCCACCTTTATTTATCACTCCTTTTAAAAATGATCTGTACTAGCAATTAAGGTCAAATAATCTGATAGAGATCATCGTCTACTCACTACAGAGGTTAAACACCTTGTAGTGATCCAGATGTTTGGTGTCCAGGAATCTAGCGACCTCCTGAAATGTCATTTATGTATTCATCATACAATTGTTGCAATGTTTTCTGAACGACTCAAATATGTAAACTACTACTATGTATCTTACTCTGATTGGGTTTCTATAGAGCGCCTGCTTCCCAGACGATGGAAAAGACATGGCAATGACTCTTTCTGAAGAGACAGAAGACCCATGATTAATCACTTTGGTTAGCAAATTAATTCCTTTTGATGTTGTTTATAATGTTTTAAATGAATTTAAAATGATACATCTGATGCAAAATTAAAGAGAAAAAAACATGAAGATGAAATGAAATGGCTATATTTCTGCCAACTACAACAAAAAGCAATCAAACCTGTGACATAAGTGAGGTCCAGATCAAATCCATCTTTTTGGTACCGTCTTTTGTTCTCGGACACCTATGAAAATGATTAGATCAAGTTTATTTATATAGCAATTTCATACAACATAAAACGCTTTACGTGAGAGTGAGAAATGTGAAAGAACATATGTTTAAGAACATATAAACAAAGATAAGAAAACGACTAAATAGAAGACTAAAAATTAAATAAGGAAAACAAATAAAACTGGAAATGGATAAAAAGTGGTTAAATAAAAATGGATTAAAGTTTAAAAGAAGAATGAAAAGTACATACACTGCAGTCAAAAGTTTGGATATAAAAAAGAT